CAACATCACCAAACGTCCTTGTGCTAAAAGCACACAACTGAGATCAGGGAACAGGCGAGAATTTTGTTGTTTCTCGTCTCTCGACATCCCTCATGACGGGTGTGAGAGTGTGAGAGGGGCCAGATGAAATGGTACAAATCACCTTACAATAGTCAACCTCTTTCAGCTTTCTTTATATTTTTGGACTTTCAAAAATCCCAGTTGAGTAAGTATGGGACACACCACCTAAGCAAGTACCAGTACAGATACTGGTAATAAATTGTACTAAATGAAATTCTCAACAATAGTATGAGAATATAGTTCAGTCTCAGAGCTCTGATTAGCTTTTAAACTTTAACTTTAAGTAGGATATTTAATTGCCAATATACATGATATATGTAGGCCTACATTTATTAAAACACATTATCCCTCTGTTGTTTAGCTTGATATTAAATTGGCAAAGAAAACAGAAACTTAATCAACTCGGGGGGAATACTGATATTGAAAACATAACATTCATTGAGCCTAGTATTGTTACTGTTTTAGTAATTACTTATAGTTGAGGTGAGCACATCCACTGAGACCAAGTGAAAAGTAAATAAAAATAATGTACAAAACACAACAGAGATTACAGTGATAAAACGACCTTACATGGACTTGCAACTTAATTTAAATTAAACACCATGAACCAAAAGGATGGACTTTCAGATCACTACCTAACTGATACATCATGATAATAATGCTGATGTACACTAAACTTTGCAAAAGGTAAAGGAGACTGTTCAGATCTTAGGAACAAATTTCTTTAATCATACATAAACTTGCTTTACTAATGCTCTGATGAAAATTAAAATACATGAGCAGTTCCAAAAGCGCACACTAGTCTCTCACTCGGCCACTTCTAAACGCTTTTATTTTCTCAAATAAATCCTTCCTATAGCATGGAAATTAAATACACAGGCATCGACACATAAACCAGACATTCAAAATAAGGTTATAATAAACAACTTCACATAAACGCTTTTGAAATTCTTCCATTCAATGAACAAAGAAGCACATTCTAGAATAACCCCCCCCCGAATGAGGAAATATTCTTATATATTTTGGACAAAATAGTGTGCGCCCCCCCGGCATTCTATACACAGAATAATGCGTAATTCACGTCAATATAATGAGTACGACTCACTGTACTTCTATTTGCCATGTCTACTTTTATGTCATTTTCAACTTCAAAGCTAGTTGTTCGAAGGACAATTCCACCTTCTGGCCTTGATGTCAGCAGGAACCCCACCCCACTGCCTGAGATATGTCATAAGTGTTGTCATTTCATCTCTGCATACCTCTACAATATCACCTTTGTTATAGCTGCTCCGTTGTGGTCAAACCATGACCTCCCTCCCACCTTCAAGATAATACTCACTGTAAAAGTAATAATAACGATGCAAGTGATAACAGATTAAGAGGAATTATAATTTGTTAGTTAAAGTATGAACAGCCGCAAACTAAACTAAACAAAACAGCCTTTGTATTGAGCCACTGTGCAAGTAGTAACAAAAACAGAAATATAGTAATGGGTGAGAGTGATCAGGATGGCAATGATGATGGCGATGATGATGATGTTATAATGATAATGGTAATATAATATTAGTAATGGCAATAATAATAATAATAATATACAAAGGTCTCTGCATAAGAACACTCCACCAAAGAATCTGCTCCGTCCAAAAACCTCTTTTAATGTGTAACAGAATTTTATCTCTCTAATTTGCATGCCCAAGAACCCCTCTAAAAATACAAATCCACCTATGAATTCTGTTTGAGTTCTGGGTAATAACTTTTCAGAGTTGCTTTATCACACTTTATGTAGGTTGGTGAGAAGGGAGATCTGCCGTGCCAAGGCAGACCGACGTATATCTGTAAAAATTGTTAATTTTTGCATCTTTGTTTAAATGGGCGCCTATACCCATTCTACATCTTGTGTCTAAGGCAGGAAGGCGTATCTGCACTATAAATAGGAGATTTCACTGTGGCAAACAGATGTAACTGAAGGGCCATGGCCATATTTCCAATGGCAGCGCGACGTAACTCAAAATCACAAAAAGTGCAGATACGTCGCTCCGCCTTGGCATGGCAGAGATGGGTTGGGGTGAAGGGAAATGGGTTGGTGTGGACTAGTACTAGAAGAGAATAAACAACGTTTTTGAAGCATGCATGATAGCTCCTCTCACATGGTCAAAGTCAAAATGTCCATCTGTTTTTTCAAAGCTGACCTATTCATGTTCATTCTTTCTCTTTACTTTATACGCCTTTGCAAAAGGTGCTGTTTCATGGGTTCACCCGCAATCAACTCAGAGAGACAAAACAACTTCATAAAAATTCGTTTTCAAGTCTGCGGTAGTCACTTGCACCAAAAAGTAATGAAGGTTTACACTATTTAGAACATAAAATTAAAACATTTTTAAAAAGCACCCATCTCTATCTTTATCCATCTCTGTCTTCCTTCAGGCATCTGTCTCGCCTATATGGGTCACTATTTCATCACAACAGAATAAACAAGAGAACCTGATGGGTTGGAGTAGAGCTGTGCCCCTGAAATGCGCTTAACAGTCCAACCTATTTGAGAACATGCTTTTTAAATGTTCTGTGTCCCGATGGCCGGGTTCCAAGGCAGAGACCACTGTATCTATATTTTACATAATAATCAAAACAAAAATACTTTGTATAGGCAGAGAGTATGTTGTGCTGACAAACAAACCTTTTAAAGAAAATACACTTGAGTCAACAACTAGAGAGCCCTTTACGTTCACATTACAATCAACTGCAACTCTCCCACACTATGAAAGAGAATATAATATGACGTATTACTGTCAGATTCATGAGGAGAACTTTTAACACAGCTCAGAGGAACTAATAATACTCATTTCTAAAACAAAACAAAAATCAAACTCTGGATAAACAATGGAACTAAATAAAATAAAATCTAAAACCAAAACAGAATGCATTCAAACTTATCAACCATCCTGCAATAGCTCAGGGATATTTTCTCAAAAGTAACATGTAGCATAGAAATAACATTCCCTTTTTTTACATCTCTCATTAGTGCATATACAATGTTTACTGCAACAAGAAACGATTTGTTTGTACACACTTAGAATGAATGCAAGTTGGTTTGCATTCAAACTTTATCTAAACGTTGGTCTAGTATGAATAAAACAAAAATGAGGCAGAGTTTGTATAAATGTTTAAAATGGGAATGGGGTGGGAAGGGAAGAGATGAAAACTGCTGACAAGTTTGAAATTTGAAACAACGTACCAGGGCGTTACGCTGAATCTCATCTGATTTATTAGGATTAAATCAGTCTCACTGGTCAGAGCGCTATTGAGAAAGATTTTTCTGGATAAATTTTATTCTGCGAGCCTATTCACAGCTCATCTGCTCCTTTCATTCAACACTGCTTCCTCCCATCTCAACTTTCTACTACACCGCCTTCCCTCAACATACAAGAAAAAGAACACAAAAAAACCTCAATATCATCAGCATTTTTCTCTACACCGCAAAAAGTCAGATTCATCACAAGACATTGTTCAAGTAGAAGGCCAACATAATCACGGCGAATACAACATCAGGAGTTCAATGTACAAAAATGCTGAGGGGGGGAAAAAGGTAGAAAAAGATATTGCAACAGCACCCTCTTGCGTCAACACACACCACATATAACATACCAATACAACAGTTGCTGGAACGCAAAAACCAACCCAGAAAGAAACGAGCCAGAAATAAAGACTTCACATTCAGACAAAAACAAACTGGGGCATCAGGGAAGCAGGGAAAAAACTGTAAACAGTTTCACTTCCCTTCACCATCATTTTAAGCCCGTATTTGAACTAGAAAAAATACGTATACTTTTTATCAGGTCCTGGAAGGGTTAAAAAGTGCTTCACCTTATTTTACCCTCTGACAGTTACATTAAATTACAAAGTTCTAGGAGGCCAGATACAGTGGAACTCGGATTTAACGAGCTTGGATTCAACGAGAACTCGGATTCAACGAGATGAGATAGATTCCCCGTTTTTATTCTTCTTTAAAATCAATCAAATTAACCCGGATTCAACGAGCACTTAAATCAGCCAGCTCGGATTCAACGAGGTCGCTTCCGGGGTGAACAGCCCCCGCAGATGTGGCTTCACTCATTTTTCTCCCACAACCAACTTTATCTATTCCTGGAAACCCTCCTTTGCACCTGCATTGTGAACCATTATTCACTTAGTTGATTGCATGCGACCAATCAGAGGCCTTTTTACACACCAACACATGCGTTGTTGGCCCGCGTACGAGTCTACTCTGGCGTGTGTCGGGGTCGGACGGGCGGCCTGCACACGTGTGAATGTGTGTGTGTGTGCGCGTCGGGGAGGGGGTGGGGGCAGCGGTCCGGGCGTTGAACGTCGCAGATACAAACGCATAACAGTCTTTTTTTCCCCTCGGCAACTGATCATTACATTGTATTACAATGATAAGCTAGTCTTGACGTAGATCTTCGTAATGAATTGTGCGCTGGTCTACGGAATCAAAAGTTGCCATTACGCTAGGCTCTACACAGCAACACAACTTTTTGGCAAACAATCGAGATGGCACAGGAGTGCATTTGAACGAATCGGTCTTTTTTTTACACAGTTCATAATATGCAATCATTTCAGGCACAACTTGTGACTTCTCTTTATACATTACTTGCTCAGTGCCTGTAATTATCTACACAGAACCTCGTGTTTGCTATAACGAACACTCGGATTCAACGAGATTTTAGGTCAGGCCCGGCGACCTCGTTGAATCCGAGTTCCACTGTACAAACTACGACAGCCTGGACAACTACAGCTGCAGTTTGCCAGGAAGAGATAAGGTTATTAACAGCGGCGCTGAAGAAGAGAGTAGATCATGCTGAAGTAGCCACCAGTCATTTGTGAGAGGAAAGATTGGTAACTGCCTCTTCTCTACCACAAGTTTCTTTCACTCTACAGGATTTCTCTTTTCGTGTGAAAATTGCGATGACTGACACGAATTTCTTTTCACTAATATGACCTTCTATCTCTCTGGCCAACACTGAATCACTAAGCTATCAGAGTCTATGACTGAACCCCCCCAAAACCGGGCAGATAACAGGAATTATGAAGCATACATTTAACAGAGGCCCACTCAAACAAACAGAAATTTCGATAAAACCTTATTTCACAATCTTCTACTTCTGGACTCAATATTTCCATTCCTCTGGGTGGTAAATCATCACTTCAGAAACATGACAAGACACATCTTATAACCAACACAGGATATCTTCATCCAAGAGGACAGAAGTTTGTATAAATAAACCAATTTTGTTCAGAGCAAAAGCCCCCAAGGGCTAGGTACTGCCCACCACACAGGAACAAGAAACGTATAAGAATGAGTTAAGTGTTTTACTGTGAGTTTGCAAGGTAACTGCGACACCCCACCAGGAACTGAATAGGAGCGTAAGTAATTGAGACAAGAAAAAGTAAAAGCAGACTGCATTATGGCGCCCACCAGCCACCCGTATAATTAAATAAAACCAAACCCATACAAACAAGGGTTCAGCATCCAACATCCATGAACACAGATCACACTCACTGATACAACAATCCACAGCCTTGCCATGATTAAGGAGGCAAAGACAGGCACAACTCACAAGATATAGACAGACTTAAGGGTGCCATATAAATGCTGTCGTATTTCCCCAAACTATTGGACTGCAAACGTATTTACATCACACATCCACAATCTGAGATACAAATACAACCCATTAATCCATCCAAAAAAAAAAAAAGTCTGGAACATGGCATATCCCAGGAGAGTGGCAACCATACATTCTGATTAGAGATAAATAATCCATCCGTACTCCAATCTCTCTCTTTTCTTTACCTCACTTCAACGGAAGAGGGTGATGGGAAGTCAGAAGCTGTGTCACATTACAGGAATGAAAAAGATTGCACAAGGAAATGTGGGGGAGCAGTTCGAAGAAAAAGATAAAAGTAACCAGGGATGTACAAAGACTAGAGCAGAATTTAAAGGAAAAAAAGAAAAAAAGATAGGCATGAGGTTTTATTCCAGTAGGCCAGAACACCTTTCTATGAGAATTTGAGAAAGGCGTCACTTAGAAAACATGGTGAAAATAGAAAATTGCACAAAGTCCAAGTCCAAGAGAAGCACAGTGGAAGATAGGGCAACACAGAGTCCAGCCCAGAGGCAATAATGAAAGTGTACAGATAATAGATTTATAGATATATACTCTCATTTTGTCACAAATAACACCTCTATACATCGTAAAACAATTTTTCTTCCATATCTTTTTTTAACAGGGTAAAAGTTTTCTTTTCCATGAATCTGATTTTCGAGAAAAAAATAATTTTATAACCACCAAATTTTCAGTAGTCAAGTCTCTTAAAGAAAACGGCTTTCTCATCAAACGCCTTTCTCCCAGTTAATTCGAAATCGCAAAACTTATGAGAGAGACCTCTTTTACAGTAATTCTAACCAAAGGAGGGAAGGCAAAACTCCAGGGGGCCTTTGATCCCCGACCGACTTTGGTGGTGGTGACGGTGGGGGTGGTGGTGGTGGCCCAGCTGGGTAGATCACAGCAGGCTATCGGAGTAGCCCACCGCCAGTGAGTGTCATAACACCTCCTCTTGTACTCCGTCGGCTGACCCGGACGTTGGCACATCCACATCCTGTGGCCGTCACCCACACGGACAGCTCAGTATCCTTCTGGCTTTTCTCTTCGTGTGTCGTAGGCTCGGATATACTCCGCCTGTACCGGGGAAATCAAATTGTAATTAAATGTAAGTGATTTTTACATTTGTAGCTGAGAAATCAAATTGTAATTAAAGGTATGTGATTTTTATGCCTGTACCGGGGAAATCAAATTGTAATTAAATGAAAGTGATTTTTACGCCTCCACCAACACAATTTAGATCATTTAGATTTTTTAAATGCCTGATTCCACCGCATCGTGATACATTTGAGAGGCAGACTTTGACCCTGTCTGACAGGGATAACCCAGGTTGAGAGGAATACAACAACATCCCAACAAAAAGATAAATTTAATCGATAAAAATCCGGAATCAAACTCGAGTCTCCTGCATGCGACAGTAAAGCAGTCAACCACTTCACCACAGAAGCCAGTTTTCCAGTAAGAAATGATTACTTAAGCTTGGGGTTTGAGTTTGAAGGAGAAGCACAATGACTTTGACACAACAACGGCTACTCAATGCCGGGGATGAGTGAGACTAAATAAGCTTTAGAAAATTACACGCTCAGTAGGCTTGACTAACACAAACAAGATAACATCAATGGGCTCAGGCACAAACCACTTGAGGGAGAGGTAGGGAGGGAGAGGGAGAAAGAGAGAGAGAGAGAGGGAGAGAGGGGGGGGGAGAGAAGGAGAGAGGGAAAGAGAGAGAGAGAGAGGGGGGGAGGAGAGCGAGAGAAAGAGAGAGAGAGAGAGAAGGAGAGGGAGAGAGAGAGAGACAGAGGTAGAAGGAGAGAGGGAGGGAGAGAGAGGGGCGGAGGGGGAGAGAGAGGGGGGGAGGGGGAGAGAGAGAGAGAGAGAGAGAGAGAGAGAGAGAGAGAGAGAGAGAGAGAGAGAGAGAGAGAGAGAGAGAGAGAGAGAGAGAGAGAGAGAGAGAGAGGGGGGGGGGGGGAGCATTTAAGTGAAAAGGCTATTTTTTAAAATTTCACCTACCTGGTTGACTACACCATGTTCTTCTTGGGAGAAAGCAAATCCATCTGGGGGAAAAAAAAGTGCGGAGAGATTGTGATATATTTGCTTAAGACACATTACAACATACCATTACCGAAAGTGAGAGAGGAGAAAGACATAATGATGCAACAAACATACCTTCAAGGCACAAATGACAAATAGGCACACCCATAAGGACATGTTCAAACAATCATGCAAGTGCAAACATAGACAATTCACACTGGCAAAAGACCTACGAGTATACTTGCATTAGAATCCAGAGTTTCTCTGAGTTTCTGCCAAAGTTTCACTTCATTCCGTACCATCAAAGTCAAAGTGGACAGGAAAATTACCTTTACTTTTTATTTCATTTTCATTATCTTCCATTTTCATTTCTATACTTAAGTATCCAGTTTCAAATTCAATTCCCTTTTTATTCTCTGACTTTGTTAATATAATCTTTATGTTTCAAGGTCAGTAAAAGTTTAACACTCTAAAAATATGTCTAAAAGGAAATTACCTTACCAAGGACAAACAGATCATGGCAATGCAAAAACATAATTCATAAGGAAAAATAACCTTTTTAAAAATTTGTTGGCAAAAACCTTTTGAAAAGATGGAATACTTAATATTTTCTTATACATTAGAAGATTTTATTCTAAACGTCCAACAGCCCTTCAGCAAAACTTCCATTTTTAAAAACTGAATAAAAGCATTTTCCCCAACAGCTAAAAAAAAAGACAAATGAAAAATCAATTGACGTCTTAATCACCTGTCTCGGTAAAACTCTCTTAAAGATCACATTACAGAATGGTATACATTTCTTCTTACAATTTTTGTTGTGTGCAATTCATTCTCTTTCTTTCGATACAGACAAAACACAAAAAAATACCTTGCTGTACTCACATTGAGAACGCATATAACAAAAATGGTATATATATATGTTTTTTATATCCTTTTTTTGTTTGTGTCATTCTTGGTGAATGTTTCCTCTTATAATTTTTTCTTTGGTGTGATTCTCCTCTCTTTCTAAATAAAAACATTTTTTTAAAAAGCTGATCAACAATATATCTAGCTCTTCTATACCACAATATTATAAGAAATACCTTGACCCTAAATACATTTCTATACATCCTTTGTTATTTGGTGCACCCCTCTAAAGTGACCCTGATCACCAAGAAAAGCTACACTTTAAAACATAATAAAAAATAAACCTGAGCTGATGAACATTACCAAAAACTTGTAAGTAAGTACAAACAAATTATTTAATTTGTTAAAAAGGAGTCAGCAACAGAGCAAAAACAGTCGATAAAAGCCATGACTTTAAAAAAAAAAGATAAAGAACAAAACAAAACAAAACCTGATAGTATAATGAAAATGAAACCATAACTTTGTAGAATAAATCAGATTATCAATACTGTTGTTAGGTTGTATACAGTCCTTTCAGAACATATAAAACTTATTTTAAAAATATTTTTTTATAAGCTTGAAACAAATCTAATACCATGAGTTTGCTATGAGCCTGGATGATAAAAGCACGTTTCTGGAGAGCATCATAACAGAACATACACAGCAACAAAGCTGATGATGTACTGGTAAAGAGGAGGGAAGGAGCTGCCAAGACACACGGTAAGAGATCAAAGGTGAAGGCGAGGTCTCAGCTTTTACAGAAGAGGATATAATAGACGGATTGAAGAATAAGAAATGATGAGGTAATTCATACATCTTCCTTTTTGGTTTTTTTAATAGGGATGGGGAAGACAGTGACAGAATCAGTAAAATGTGTAGAAGGTAAATTACAAAAAGCTAGGATAGGCCAAACTGTAAATAAATATTATATTTAATACAAAAGAGTTTTGTCATTATTACCATACATAGTCAAGCGTGTACCCTCTGCTGTGTCAAGGTAAATAGCATTCAATCTACGGCAAGTCCTTGAAGAAGCAAGTTCACAAGTCTAGACAAATGTCTACACTTTCTCAAGGGCCAAGATTTTGTGTGCGTGCGAGTGTGTGTAGGGGGAGGGGGGGTGTTGTTGGTGTGTTAACCAAGCACGCGCGGCAGTTTGTATTGGGTCAGATTGCTCAATCAGCACTATGCAAGGAGATGAACGCTTATATTCCTACTATACAGATATAAACAGGAAGCTTATATATCATAAAATCAAGAATAACATACTGTCCGTACCAGGAAATTCTGTGCGAAATAAAAACAGGGCACTTGGATCATCTACATACCATATATATATAATATATACATTACTGACAGAGAAAGAGAGAGAGAAAGTGTGATTTACAGTCTTAAAATGAAGGGTTCCCAGAACATGCCAAGTCCCCCGAGAAGAAAGAAATGTCAGTGCTCCGGCTTTGAGTACAAAATGCTGCATGGCACTGAGATAACTGAACGAAGTAAGCCCAAAAGCAGCCCCAAACTTTTGCAAGTAAAGCAGAGAGGGTAAATTTGTCTGCGGAATAAGGCAAGAAGGAAGGAACGGTTCAAGCGAGGGCTGCATAAAAGCTTTATGATAACATAAAGAGTAGCCGCTGTGTAGAATAAACAAAGTACACTGGTAAGAGGCAACTTCTATGACTCTTGATAAATGCTTTAATTTACTGTAATTATATCATATTCTCTGTCTTGATTCAGCATATTTAAAACTTTCAGTAAAAGTAGAAAAAAATCCAACAAAATGAATTACTTGCACATGGAAGTGGCCGAATACCAAAAATTACACCAAAAAAAAAAAGTTAGTTCTTGTTTGAATTGAACCCTAAATCAAAAGAAACCCTTATCTCCAACATACTGCATAAACCATCCGTGAACATTATCAGGTAGAAAATAACATTCAAAACTTCCACTACAAGTAAATAGATTATAATTATACAGCTAAAAAAGGCTGTGAGAATCTGTAACAATATTACATTTTGTCCTTTTTTAAAAAAAGTTAACAAAATGCAAAATCAGTTAAGGTGATGTCTATAAAACAAAGCCAACGATCCATGACCAAACTTGTGCTTTAACTTTAAGGGCTAAACTGAAGGAAGGCATTGTTTAAACCAAATGTCACAAGCTGATGCTCAAACAATCCATAACATGGGAAAGGAAAACAAAATAGTATTAACTAACCTTCCCTGCACTTTAACCAATCACATGTTCACATATTTTCTGATTGAGACAGTGTCTTATTCGATATTCCCAAGGCACAGTATATGGTGTATACCACACCTATTCCAGCAGTGTTTCATTTTTGTGTTCAACAGACAACTTTTACTATCAATCCAAAACGGATATTTTCTTTCTCTGAAGAACTTAAGTGATATGTCTGAGGTAAAAATAAAGGATAATGAAAGTAAAGGTTAATGCCTAGATACCATTAAGTACATTGCAAAACAAACTAAAGTTGTATACCTCTAGTAGTTCACCAAACACAGATAAGGCACTATTGAAACTTTAAAAACCAGTACACATTCAGGAACGTAAGAGTAAGATGCTGCGAAAGATGCACAGCGTGTTGTTTTCAGCACATTGTTATTCTTAAGTCATAACTGTGCAGTTTTTTGTGAGAAAGAACAGTCTCCAGGCAATTTCATATTCTCCAGTAAAATGGCAGTCTGGCAAGCATTCTACGGAACACCCGATGTTCCAGGACTAGAAAGTGTGAGGGCAAGGTATATACGTGTATGACAAAATAAAACAGAAATCATGTACCCATGGTATGTATTGATATGAAAAGTTTTCATTTCTGATTAATGCTCTTGTTATAATAGCTTTGCCGGAGGGATTCCCCACAGCAACTGTATTCTTTAGGCCATGCAAGAAGTAAGAGTGGGGGGATGTGGAGAGGGGAAGGGGGCAAAAATGGGGAGGTGGAGTGATCTTACCTCGCTGCACTCTTCAATTTCATCACTAGGGTCACCCGAGGGTGGCACAGCGACTACAACTTTGGCTAATGTGATGAGGAAGGGGGGGGAAACGGGATGGAGTGTGTGTACAAAACAAGGCACCAGATTTAGATATGTGAAGTTGCAGCCAAAAAGCCCTCAACCCGGGGAATGTCAAAGACTTGAGCAGTAACCTTCTGCGGCACTCCAAAAGAGTCAATGCATCAATATTCGTACAAACAAAGGAACACACACACACACACACACAAACACACCCCCACAACACTGAATGAAAATTCCTGCCTCTGCTCAAAGCATCCTGAAAGATCACACCTCAAATCCTTTTGAAAGATTCCGCTTTAAACCAAAGTTTCTCAGAAGGTAAGGACGGGCTCATAATGGCTGACACTTTCTGCAACCTCTCTACTGCTACTCCTTGGTTCCTTCGATTGTTTGTGGGATGGATAAAGAGATGAATGGGGGCTCTCGTGGTCTAGAGGTTAAAGTGTTCGCCTCTCACTCAATAGGTCGCGGGTTCGAATTCGGATAGCAACGGGAAATTTTCTACACTAAAATGTTCTCTTGTCACGTCCTTTCCTGCTCTCGAACAATCAATTTTCTGTCGTCTGCTTTCGCCTCCACTTTCTGCCCCCACACCTTCCCTTCTTTTGCCTCATCCTCTGGGCTTCTGACTCTTTCTGCAGCCCCTCT